TCACCGGTAGTTCCACCGTTTGAGCGGGTTAGACCGCTACCATACGAGAGCGTTAGTAAGTTAAAAGTGATGAATACTCGATTGTCTCCTTTTACCAAAAATATTAGGAGACGCACGTAGTATAGAGAATCTTCTCTATGATCTTGAATTTGACTTAGTGCAATCATATCCTCATTTTGTAAAATCATTTGTATGTCTTTAGTTCATAGATATCTTGCTGACTCATTTGTAACATGTAGAAAGCTTATCTGGTGGCTGATCGAGGATTGTTGTAATACAACATAGTATTCCATTAAGCTCGGCCCGCCCACTTTAGCCGTATAAAAGGGCCGCAGCTCTTCACTGTTCAGTTTTTCGTGTTCGCCTACATCGTCTGGAGTAGTGGCTTCAATAAATCTCAAGAAGACCCGCGTGGCAAAGCACAAGGAGCAAGAAGAAATTCTTAATATGGTGCATCGGAAGCCGAGCAGGATCGAACCCGGGACAATCTGAGGAAGATGACTACGAACCTTTCAAGCCGTCAAGGACTGCTCACGCGAGCCTGCAACCGGCTCAAGGACACGCTGAAAGCTCAAGACGACCTCATCGCAAATGCGGCTGACATAAGGGATGCCGACCAGGAACAGAGGCTTCTACGGGATCACCAATGGCAGATTCAACGAGCCATACAGCTCATCGAGACGGACATAGAAGCGGTGGACAAGGCACTGGAAAACTATTCCATCGCTGCGGACAATCTGAATCCAGATACGCCAATGTCCTCCGATATTCTCGAGAAAGTCGCTGGCAATAGTGAGGCAGCTCAAGAACTACTCGGAAATGCGGACGCTATGTTAGCCAAATTGCGCGTGGAATGCCACTTCAGAGCAGGTCAAAGACATAGCGGTACACCCGCATGGAGAGAATCCGCGACAGTGCCGCTAGCTCCAGTTCCTATTCCAAAGTTCGACGGTAAGATATGGGAATGGGAAACATTCTGGCTGGGGAGCATTCAATCACTCGGTACACTCTCGAGATATGGACGACTTACACAAGATGAACTACTTGATGGATGCCCTCCAAGGAGAGGCACGGGAGTGCGTGAAGCAGTACGAAGTCTCTCGTCACACTTACCCAGTTGTCATCGCCTACTTGCAGGAGAAATACGGTGACCACCAAGCACTTGTCGACGAACTTCTCAAACGACTGCAGAATACGCGAGCATCGAGTGATAGTCTTAAAGACCAGGGCAACCTTTGCGAACGTCTCACATCTCTCGTGAGCCAGCTAAGACTCAAAGGGGAACAAGTGGACAACGTTTTTCTGCAGAAGCAGCTGCTCAGAAAATTCTCGATAGATGTGCAAAGGCACATATTGCGACAGCAACAACACCATCCACTGCATACAAAATGGGACACCAATGATTTGCTGATAGCTGCTAAGGACTACATCAGGGACGAGTCGAAGATCCTCCATAGTACAGAGACACCTATATTCGAACGCCACACCGTTAACGATGCCGCGAAGCCTAGCCAAGCAGAACGGGGCCGCAGAAACATGAAGGGACAAGATTCGCGCAGAATGCTTCTACTGCAACAAAGGAGGACTTCCCCCAAGCAGTGCAAGGAAGTGCCCTCTAGAGAGCAACGGATCGAAGTTCTAAAAAGGAAGAACCTCTGCTGGAATTGCGGAGAACAAGGTCACCTTTCACCACAATGCGCTCGAGGGAACTGCAGACTCTGCGACGAATTCGGTCATCATACGTCTATCTGCAAGAAGGCAGCGCTCGCTTCAACCAAAACACCCCACAGCTACCGTTTCTTCCTCTTCCAAAGTAGCTCCAGTATCTAAGAAGAGCTCATCCAAAACCGGTTTAATCCGGAAAACCACAGCAAAAATGCACAGTGTCACCTCCGAATCGAACAACCAAGGACGAATGTGGATCCAACGTTGTGCTACACGTGAGTAACAACCTCGAACGGTCAGAAATGCCAATCCTTGTCGGACAAGCGCAAGTACTCAATCCGGAAACGCAAACACTGGAGTCTGTTCAAGTTGTGCTCGATTCAGGAGCAGACCGCTCGTTCATAAGTGATAACCTTGCAGACCGACTCCACCTACCAGAGCTCGACAGAACAGTCCTGAAAATCTGCACTTTTGGCTCAAAAACGCCCATTACGAAAACGTGCGGCATTTCTAAGGTGCAAATTTGGGACCGACAAGGAGTACCGCATAGCTACCTGGTCGGTTCTCACGAACCGATCGGCGACACCAGACGACAAAAGTTCATTTTCGGGATTGATTCATTAGTCACACACCAACATAAAGCCGGATATACTGGCTCGCTGGTAGACCTCTGCATGTTAGGGTGGCGGACGTCAGCAAACCACTTCATTCGGGATTGGACGAGATTCATCACTGGACTTCGTATAGCATACATTATACGAAGTTATACGACGAAAGTCCTACCAACGCTGTCACGGTGTCCGACGAATCCACGCTCCCACAGGTGAGCACCGCAAGGGATAAAGAAGAGTATGTTCCAGTCAGTTCGCAGGATCATCAGATGATCACAGCCTTGGAACAAGAACTTTCTCACGAGGACTTTTCTTGCAACGACGCCTCACTAGTAAACTCGTCCTCTGAGGACAGTACTTCAATGTGGGAACAGTTTTTCGCCTTTGAAACATCAGGAGTTAGCGAATTCTTGGGACCTACGGAACATGAACGTCAAGATGCTGATAAAAAGGTCTGGAATGAATTCGAAAAAACAATTAAACGAGAAAAGGACGGTTACTACGTCCAATTGCCATGGACAAAGGACGCAGATAAACTTCCAGACAATAAAGCGATGTCATTTCGTCGGCTGGAGAGACAATCGTGGCGAAACTGCGGCAGAATCCAGAACTCCTCAGAGAATACCACAACACGTTCGTAACTCAGCTCCAACTCGGCATTATCGAAGAAGTGACGGAGAATTCACCCGAAGATGCCGTGCGAGTACACTACCTTGCTCATCAAGCTGTACTCACTCCACACAAGGAGACTACGAAGCTCCGAGTAGTATTCGACGCGTCAGCTCGCAAAAAAGGATCCTTGTCGCTTAATGATGTCTTACATCGTGGACCAGTAATTCTTCCAATGTTGTCTGACATGCTCATTCGCTTCCGTATAGGACACATTGCAATCATCAGTGATGTTGAGAAAGCATTCCTCCAAGTACGACTGCAAATCAAAGACCGAGACGCCACACGTTTCTTGTGGCTTCGTGACCCCACAAAACCTATTACCAACGAAAACCTCGTCACTTATAGATTCACACGTGTTACGTTCGGTCTCAATTGCTCTCCGTTTCTTTTGGCTGGAACGATACATCATCACCTGAAGACTCATGACGATCAAGCCTTCGCAGAAATGTTACTGGAAAACACTTATGTTGATAACGTGATTCTAACGACCGAAAGTACTACCGAAGCCATCACGCTTTACAGGAAAGCGAAGAACACCTTCAGCGAGATTCAAATGAACCTCCGCGAATTCCGTTCGAACGACAAGGACTTCAACACCAGCATTCCTTGTAAAGATCTGAACAAAAATCCCATCCAAAAGGTGTTAGGAGTGCAGTGGGATACGGAACAAGATGAACTGGACATCGTATGCAAGTATCCCACAAAGGAAAAGGCAACGAAACGGACAGTTTCAGAACAGGTCGCATCCATTTACGACCCTCATGGATGGCTCACTCCTTTAACTCTGAAAGCCAAGCTCTTTTTTCAACAGCTTTGGAGCTCCGACTATGAATGGGATACATGCCTGACCCCTGAACATGAAAGGCAGTGGCAACTCATACAGAACACTGTAAACGACTTCCGCACACGGATAAAGCGCAATATCGCTAGGAACAACGAATCAGCAACGCTTGTTCTATTCTCTGATGCCAGCGCTCAAGCAATGGCCACATGCGCGTATTTGCTACAAGAAGGATCATGCAATCTCGTCGCAGGGAAGGGTAAACTTCCCCGACTTAAAGAGAAGCCCACAATACCAAAGATGGAACTGCACGCTCTAACTATGGCTACGCGGCTCGCACATTCCATCCTACGTGCGCTACAAAGCAAGTTGAGAATAATTACTATCTACGTTCTTACGGACTCTGAAATAGCTCTAAACTGGATTGCAAGAGCTAACGACGATGCGGCAGCAGGAGTTTTTGTGAACAATCGCTCTAAAGAGATTCACCAAATTGTTCAACAAGTTCCAGTTCCTGTGCGATTTGGAACACGTGTTCGTGGCGGAAGGTTTCGGGTGTGGGTTAGGCGCCGTAGCCACGAAGAACGTGCCCACTTCTGTCAACCCCGCAGATTGCGCAACTCGAGGTCTCAATAAAGACGAATTGAAGCAGCACTTTTGGTGGAACGGACCTGACTTCTTGAGCTTGGCACCTGAGCAATGGGGAACAGTTGTCAAATTCTTCCCAATGCCGGACAAAATAGAGGAGTCAAACAGCAAGAACTGCGTCGTGAACCTATCCACCTCTGCGATAGCTTCCGTGTCAGACTTACTGGACTGGAAAAGGCATAGCAGTTGGCAGTCATGTCAGACCACAATGGCTTATGCCCTGCGCTTCATCAAAGCTATAGTGTCTCGAGTTGATGCGGATCTTCGCTCACGTATCGCTAATCATGCTCCCGATATAATGAAGATGTCAGGAGAACCTTACGTGACGGCAGCGGAACGAAAGATCGCACAGCGAATTCTCCTTCGCAACCATCAACAAGTGCATCTTCCAGAATCACGACAACAAGTTCTGAAACAGCTCAAACTCCAGCGCGATAACGACGGCATCATACGGTGTAGAGGACGGCTGGATAAAATGAGTTCGAGTTACGACGCAAGACAACCCATTTTGATTGCTGCAAAGTCGGAGCTAGCACGGTTAATCGTTCAGGAGTCACATTCGCCTTTACACTGTGGCGTTGCTCATACAATGGCGAACGTAAGGCAGACTTACTGGATTCCGAAGTTACGGCAACTCACGCGACAAGTAATCCGAGCGTGCGTTCCGTGTCAAAGGATGAACAATCTGCCATTCAAGTATCCAGAAATGCCAGATCTTCCGGGATGCCGAGTGCAACGTTGCAGACCATTTGAACACGTCGGAATTGACTTTTTCGGACCTTTATCAGCCAAAGACAGTGGAGTCGTCAGAAAATTCTACGGAATTATATTGACCTGCACCACGACTCGCTTACTTCATCTCGAGCTGGTAAACGACATGTCAACTCCAACGCTACTACTAGCTCTGCGACGATTCTTTGCCCGCAGAGGAGTTCCGACCACGATTATTTCAGACAATGGCCCGTCGTTGCTATTGGGAGACGAAATCCTCAGAAATACTATCGCTGCCATTCCACAGGACGTTCCACTCGCAAAGTCAATGGCCACCAAAGGGATTGTTTGGAAGACAATAACGCCATATGCTCCGTGGCAGGGAGCCTTTTATGAACGGCTGATAAAGTCTGTGAAACAATCCCTGTACAAGGTCATGACAAATATCCTGGAAAGAGAAGTACTGGAAACACTTCTGACGGAAATCGAAGGCAGTCTGAATTGTAGGCCTCTAACGTACCAAGAAGAACGATGGGAGGAAGCACCAATATTGCGACCTATCGACTTCATCCAGCGAGATATGGTCATTACCTACCCCCTGGAATACGCAGGACAAGACGACGATGACCCAGACTACTTACCACCTGAAGAAGCTATACGACTACAAACGCGTCGCCAAGCGGAACAGGCCCTTCGATATAGCCACGCGTTCACGGAAAAATTCTGGCAAGTTTGGAGTCGAGAATACCTCAGCGCATTACGAGAAACACATCAACTCAACTTACACGGCCGAAAGGGGACAAATACTCCCCCCTCCATCGACACTGTAGTACTGATATCAGACCCTATTTTGCCCCGGAATTCATGGAAAATAGGGCGAATTACGAATTTAAGGAAAACGGACGAAGGAGTTGTACGCGAAGCAGAAGTAAAATTGCCAAATGGACGACTTATTCGCAGACCCATAAACCTCCTCATCCCCTTAGAATTGAAGGACTCGTTCGAGGATGACACTTGCCCCAGCACACCCGAGAGTGCCAAGAAAGAGGAATCCACTCCAGTTGACAGTCGACACATAAGCCATGATCGAGGACAAGAGGCAGACACTCTTGCTGGAAGCAAGCAGAACCCGCGATACAACCTCCGGTCAGCAGCTAAAGGAAGGCGATCATACCAACAGCCCATCTCGACATCCAATCTTATTCTCACATTGACGCTAGCACTTGCCCTTGCAGGGACTGTAAATGCAGAATTCAATTCCACCATCACTAATGTTGCGGAAATTCGATGTGTACCGGGAGGAGTTCGACTGAACTCTGATGGAATACGACGATATGAGTTGTGCTCAGAACAAGATTGCTTCGTCAATGAGCACCCAACACCTCACGAAGGAAATCATGTTTGCACCAGAAGTCACCTTACATGAACACCAGGTGCAATGGAAAGTGTACGATGGGAGCAAAGTTACTGTTCTGAACGCCATATGCCCAGCCGCTAATTTCTGTGAAAATATCCGCTGTTGGATATGCACGGCAAATATTTTCAATCCAGAATGCTCTCCACGATCAGCCATCGCGGCTATAGCAGTTTTCATATATCTGACGACAGCAGTCCTTTATGTGTTCTGCTATGTCCCCATTGTGGTTGGAAAACCATTCCGCATTCTCAGTTGGGGAACACTCAAGTGTATGGCTCACACGGTACGACTGGCAAGAACTATATGGAGAGGATGCGTGCGAATAGCCTTTCGAAGGCGGCTGTTCCATCGACGTCAACAAGACGTGGAGGCATTCCTGAGAGCTCCTTTGATCACGCTGACTATCCTGGCAATAATGGCATCAGCCGTTTACCCATGCCAAGAAGTCGATATTTTCAGTCAACCGAGCACAATCTGCCACGTTTCTCCTCAAGGACAGAAAACATGCCTGACCGAAGCGACAGAAATTCTTAAAATGAACAGTTTCCATCAAGAGGCATGCCTTCGTCTTCTCTATAACCAAACACTGGTAAGAGATGTTCGTATCAGGTGGAAAGGATTGCGCCTAACATGTGCGAAGGAAACTCTCGTCTTCACAAGAGACTCGGAACAACGAGTCATGGACTCAAAACGATGCGAAACCATGGGATCCTGTAAGGAACGTAAGTGCGAAGACATCAGCCCAACAGCACTGCTTCCCGAACTTAATGAGAGCAACAAGTATCCAGGAATAACCCGCTGCGTTGAGAGCTGCGGGGGACCAGGTTGCGGCTGCTTTTGGCCTGGGAGCGGATGCCTGTTTTACAGGATATACAACGTCCCTAAAAGTGACAGAGTCTATGAAATATTCAGATGCGCTCAGTGGAAAGAAGCTGTTCATCTTGAACTAACATCTACTAACACACAGACAAGGACAGCAAGAAGGTTCAAATTCGCTCTGCAACCTACCATTCCAACTCAAATAGGAGCCATGCGAATCACCCTAACGACATTAACTGTCCCCGCCAACACCATTGTTGTGTCTTCTACCTTTATATCTGACAGCACTAACTTCGCTCTGTGGAAGATGAACAACAAGCCAACTCTGCAGTGTGAATCGCACGAAGCAGCACAATCACTCAACTGCTCAGTTCTTCCAGATTGCGATTGCCAGCCAGCTGAGAACAAAGTCAACTGTTTGTGCAAGAGCTTGGACATTGCAGACCATTTCGAGAATCGACTGGAAAATCGGTTCCCGATCCGTCGTCCATGGATCACACTCACTCATACGGTCTCGCACCCCAAAACGGTTGAAGCAACTATTCCTATGTTCACGACTGCAGAGGTACTGATCCACTTCAAAGACAAGTACGACACGACGGTCACGGACGCTACAGACGCAATTTGTTCTGTGAAAAATTCGATTGCGAAGGGATGCTATAAGTGTCCGCAAGGTGCAGTAGCCCCAATTTCCTGCACTACAAATGGTGCATCAACACTGGCTACAGTTCGATGCGAAGACGAAATTTTCACAGTACCCTGTAAACAAGAAGGCGCTCCCTCAGTGTTTCGCGCGAATTTTTTTTTTTTTTTTTTTTTTTTTTTTTTTTTTTTTTTTTTTTTTTTTTTTTTTTTTTTTTTTTTTTTTTTTTTTTCAACCATGACTCAGCCCGCATACATAAAAAATGCGTAATATCATGCGGATCGATACAAAATACCTTTGAAATAACAGGTATACTACAATGGGTGAGGACGATTCACAGCTCTGCATTGAAAGTGCTCGCAGGAGAAAGCAATGTCTACGACGACGAGATAGTCTTTCCAGACATCAACCACATACTGGACGTCGTATGGCAGTGGTACAAGACCCTCGCCCTTGCCGGAGGATTATTACTGCTCGCAATAATTTTCGGATACCTCTGCTTCTGGTCTTGCGGCGTGAAAATTGTGCTTGCACTAATCTGTACCTGTACCAGAGCTATCAGATTCATCGCGCATATTTTCATCCAGGTGACAATATGGAGCATGGTTTGCCTGAAGAAACGGTCACCAGCAAGCTCAGAAGTTCACCTTAAGCAGATATGAGCAAGTCGAAGCCTATTGTGGGCAAAATTCCGCCCTTTTTCCTTCAATTTTTCCCTCTTTCTATCTTCTCTGCTGGAAAAGTCAAATTCAAATTCAAATTGAAGCTTCACCGTACAATCACCTCGACGACAATCTCGACTCCGCCTGGGACAACACACAGTGCTCTGTGTATAAGCGCGACAGAAAGCAGCTCTTCTCTGTTTGAAGCAGCATGTCAGCCTCTGCACAATCATCAGCGGCCTCGGTCAAGTCGACAGCGGTGGAATACCAGAAGAAGCAGAAAAAATCGACCGGATCGAAGGAAGAAACTCGGGCGCCGATCTTCACCGAAAGCGTCGAGCTCCAGCGAAGTCAGCTCTTCGTCCGACATCTGGGAAGAATTCTGCCGTCACGGAGTAACCATACTGAAGAACGATCAAGGAGCGAATCGAAGAGGACGATGCCGTATTGCGAAGCTATCCGTGACAACCACAAGGAGCTCAACCGAGTCAAGCACGAGACGTCGCATAGAAGAAGCGCAGAAGGTTCGAGACATTTCTCCTCGCAGACAGTCCAGGATCGACGGAATGAAGAGAGAAAGAGAGGGAACTACAAACGAAGCTCGGTTGGACAAAGCACCGCAAGACTGCATCACCGCTCGCTCGTAGTCCACGCCGTCAACAACGTTCTCCGCGCAGAACTCGCCACACTTCACCGGACCATTCGCGTCGTCGTAGCAGACCATCGCGTAGTCGAAGTCTCACATATCGTCAGCCGCGTGCCTCACCTACTCCAAGCATTCGTCGCCGGGGAGTATAGAGAATCTTCTCTATGATCTTGAATTTGACTTAGTGCAATCATATCCTCATTTTGTAAAATCATTTGTATGTCTTTAGTTCATAGATATCTTGCTGACTCATTTGTAACATGTAGAAAGCTTATCTGGTGGCTGATCGAGGATTGTTGTAATACAACATAGTATTCCATTAAGCTCGGCCCGCCCACTTTAGCCGTATAAAAGGGCCGCAGCTCTTCACTGTTCAGTTTTTCGTGTTCGCCTACATCGTCTGGAGTAGTGGCTTCAATAAATCTCAAGAAGACCCGCGTGGCAAAGCACAAGGAGCAAGAAGAAATTCTTATACCTTCTCCACCGGATCATTGTGACACGCTCGCAGGGCGGTAATTATAAACGGCAGAAGGTCATTTGTATAGACACTCATTTCGTTGTTTCCAGTAGTTGATATAGCTCTCCCAATTTGAATCTCTTGGATCGACTTCTGGAAACGTGTTCATAGTGCAGTGGTCTCTACGTCTTCGCACCTTAGTTGGAGGCAGGCGAGCTTAATCATCAATTGATACGAAGAATAACCAGCCAGTCTCTATTTTCCATGAACCGTCAGAAGTAACCGCCATTTTGAGCGCCTAACTTCGAAACATCACAACTCTGCTCAATACACAATCGTTCAGCGCTATGTGAGGCACCAATTTATACTTCAACATCCATATCCATATTTTTTCAATGGCACCCTGAAGAATTCTTAGCAAGAAATTTTGACTTCCTCGTAAAACATTACGTCGCCAACCGTCTGCTTCTGTACAAGAATTACTTAAAGGATAAAAAGGATAAAGCATTTGCCGTGATCATACGAAGTTATACGATGCCGAAGTTGAGACGTCCCGTTTTGGGATGCGGCACGCATTCTACTTCCATTTGTACATTCGCAGTGGCGTTTGAATGCGATGTGGCCTATACAATGACTTGCGGGGGCCAGCCGATGTTCAAGTCAGTGTTTTTATCCTCCCAGACAAGTCTGGTACCAATTAACCGACCCCGGAGGGATGGAAGGCTTGGTTGGCCCGGGCGACTCACGACCCAGGATTTGATCCCCGGACCGCTCGCGTGGTGAGCGCGCCACTTGTCACTACACCACTTCCGCCCCCTAGAATTACATATAAAGCAGAAAATGGTAACAATTCATAGGCTGCTCACCAATGCAACGTGAGGAGTGGTGGAACTGTTTGTGAATTTTCTTCTCGAGGAATTTCCTCACAAAACGTCATGTTGTGAGCCTTCTATGCTACTGGGTTGAAGAATCGGGCGTTTTCTGTGTTGTGGAAGAGGGCACTACTCCCCCCCCCTCGGTGCTGTGCAAAATGGCGGAAACTTTTTCATTGAGCTGAAAACGTCCGAGCTAGCACTCACAATGGCTGCCCAATCGAAATCGTGCTGAGCCTTCTTTCCTAACCCTTTCACCGAGGTTTCCAAAAATTTTGTATCGTTGGTTAATGTATTGAAGGAGTCCGAAATCTGGAATAAACCGATCCAAATTGAAGGGTGATTTGTGTGCTATCAAGATAATGGAGATTAGGGATCTGTGGATATGCCGAATTCTAGCGCTGAGTAAATTTTAAACAATTTTACATCAGTCTACCACGAGTATTAAATACTATTCTTCCCCATCACGATCCTATGTGATCCGTTTCCTCCTCTCCTCCACCTTAAAGGCACAACCCAGGCAGAGGTTTTTTATAACTCTTCTCTTCGGTCAGAAGTATAGAACCCTAGCCTAGGGGACAATCACAAATGTGGCGTTCACGTGCACGGAATTCGACCGACAAGAACGCTTTGGGCTTGCAAAGTAAGCTGCTCGAGCTGCAGCGAACGAGCTCTCTTATCAGGCCGTTGTCTGGTGCTCTCTCATCTGATGCGCTCTCTCGCCCCATACTCTCCTCTTCGCGCTTAGTCTCTCGTTCCTTTAGCACAGCCAATTAGGAAGGTGAGTGAGCCCTCAACCTGAGCGTTTTCGACGGATTCTTTTCCTTTTTTCTTCACTGCCGGCCCACTTGGCACCGATACATTCACATTCGTGTGCAAGAGCCACACCAGTGCGATCCTGGGGCATGCCTTTAAAACCATCCATAGGCTGCGGTACCGAAAGTGGTAGTTCCTATCCTCCACCAAGGTAAATATTAACCTCGGTAGAGACCCTTGGTCGTAATTCACCATGGGCCTAACATATGAAGATTTTGTGAGAACTGCTAAATCAAAGGGTGGTACGGAATCTCCGATCGAAATTAAGCTTTTTTTTCCAAAAAAAAACGCACTAAGACGCAAGCAGGGAGCATTCCCACAACTGCCGTGATGATTTGACAAGGCTTAGGCTAAGACGTAGGGGTACAGCAATTGCTACGCCTTGACACCACCGACCCCACCTACAACTCCATGTGACTTTACAAACAAGTATGTGAGAAATTCTAATGTTGAACTGTTGTTCGGAAGGTCGTAGTAGAATAGCCAGCAAATTGTAACTGCGTAGTTCAACGCTAGGGCCAATGCTACGAGCCTATCGAGAGCATTGCCATTCAGTCCAATGAGCATCAAAAAAATAAGCTTGCAAAGGTTCTTCCTCCTCCACACTTCGGGGCGCGGCGGAATCGGTGGTCACGCAAACTGTGCGGGTAAATTTGAAAACGCTCCATCAGCACAGTTCGCAGGCAGCACCGACACGGCCGCGTCCCAAAGTGTGAAGAAAGTGGGGGAGCCGCTGGGAAACAAACAAAAAATACAAAAATGAGAGAACTAGCAAAATTAGGGTTCCGCGCTGAGTTCTTATAGATGTGTCGATTGACGGCAGGGCCCGCATCTGCTGAAAACAAGTCCAGACACCTCCTTCTGGAGCTAACGAAGAACAGCTTCTTACTTTGCACTTCTTTGGCGGTATTTCCTGCTTTTTTTCTACAACTTCGTTTCATTTAGACCCTATGCTTCACATCTGAACACCTAACTCCATCCTTTCACCCCAGACATTGCCTTTGAAGCATCCAATTAAAACCTCTGAGGTGTCAAACGAGTACAAGACAACCTATAACAGTATTTATGTTCTTGTGGTAACTGCAACCAAATGAGAGGGAAAACTGGTCTACCTTCAATTTCTGCTTTCGAACGACGCACATTATGCTCTTCGATGTGTAGGCGAACAGACGCGATACTAATAAGGTTAGTTTGAGGTTTTGAGTTTGACGCGCAATATATGTAAGAACATGTGATGCAGGTGGAATTTACCTTCTGTAGTCCATGCACAAGCAGGATCCTCTGTCCGTTGACCCTTTTTGAACGAGAAGGGTCGTACTTGGGGAAGGGCTGGGAGGGGAAGGGGTCATAAATGAAGAGGAATAGGATGGCAAAATGCTCGTGAGTTGAACATGCTCTCATCTCCTCCACTTTCAAGCGAAAATGGTGCCACTAGGGCTGGAGTTGGACTACGTCTGGATGGCAGGGTTCCAATGACAATAAATGAAGCAATGACCATTGGAGAAGGGAGTTGCGAGAAAATTCCTCAGGGAAAAGGGGGTCGCCCGATTTTAATATTCACAACGTTAGAGCAAACCTTACATAGATGTTCGCTTATGCTGGGATACAGTAGCCGATTGATCCAATCGGTTAAGGCAGCCTCGGGCAAAAATATAGTGTTGAAGCTTCAGAAAGGCTAGAGGCTAGAGGTGGATAGGAATCCGGAAAAAAAGAAAGCAAGATAAACCCCCGAACACGGCCAGAATAAGGGACCCCCTCTATTTCGCCGCATTCCACCTTCAGATAATTAAGGGGCGTGCTGGACGAGTTTCACGAGCTTACTCCAGTTGCTCCAACATTGAGCCGCAATGGAATCGCTGTCTATTGTGCCCGCGCTTTTCAAGCAGCGGTGCGGCTTGCGGGAGATGGGGTGATGTCGGCCAGCGAACGTCTGATCGCGCCCTTGTCGAGTACTCTGACCGTCAAAACCCCTATCAAGAGCTCTGGTTCATCTGCCTACTACGCTCGGGTCGGAACGCAGGCTAAGCATGCCTATTCCCGGAGCATGCCTTCGAGTAATCATTTGCATCTGATACATGTCATCTATGTTCATACACCTTCGCTCCCTGGCGCTATCAGAGCTATTAGGTTGTTGGCAACGATCTGCGGAAATGCTGTTTCCAGCGCACTAACCTTTTTCAGGGGAGCGACTCCAAGAAG